TGCCTAATAAAACAAAAAGGGGGAATAGGCCAAGGCCACACCCCCAAGGGAAGACTATCTTTAGCTTTATTGACTCTTAATTTTTTTCAACTGGATGTGGATGGGCGTTCGGCTGCTGATCGCCATCATAGTGCCCTTCCCTGTACTAAGGGATTGGTAAAATGAAAGGATGTCATTACTGGACTGTGGAAGGGTCCTGACCCTATGCTATAATGGGCGAGAGGGTCTGTTTGTGTTTTCCCGCAGGATCAATCAGAGCCGGTTTGGGTTCCAGAAAGGCTGACAAGAAGAGTCCCTGCCTTTGAGGATGGTGAAAATCATAAGCAGACCAATGTACCTGATGCTGACAATCATGACGGTGATGCTGATCAACAAGATGACAGTAGAACCCACCGATGGGGGATTCTGTTGGTGTTCCGGAAACCACTGCCAAACAGACATTCTGCTCAAGTTTTCCCTAGATTTTTTAGAAGCAATTTGAGTTTAAATTACCTTTTTTGCCTTTAGATAATGATATTAGTCCTGTAGAGGATAATGTTAGTTTTGGTTTGACAGGGATTTTGTGCTTTTTTATAGTTAGTAATATTAGTCAGAATAATGATGGGTGCCCTGGGAGGAATGCTTATCCTTGTCAGTATCATTGCTTTATGGTGTATCTGCAGGATGAGGGTTTCACAGAGGAGAAGTAATGCCATGATTGCACAAGCCTTCACAGCCCTGAAGGCAGGGCAGTCTCCTCAGGCTTGGTTAACGGTACTCAAAAGCTAATTAATTACTTCCTCCACACAGGTTTCGAGATGTAGTACTGCACATGAAGTGTGAACTTCATGAAGGGTAAGTCTGATTGCATATGGGTTGGTATCATAATCCCATCTCTGACAAAAGATACCAGACTGGTGTGGTACCAGCTTGGCTGATACCTAGGCGTGGGGCCATTACATTGTCCCTTGTTTTCAGAGATCAGACCCCAACCCTTACCTTTTGTGCTATAAAATAAAAAAGGGGGAACTGTGGAGAGCCACAGCCCTAAGATGGTGCCTGGCTGGATGGCAGGTAGTCCAAGCTTAGCTGTAAACAAGCCTTATTTGGAAGTGCTTGAGGCATCTGGCGTGCTTCCTCCTCCTGTGGCCTATCCGGGATTGCCAGATGGCATGAGCTGATTGGGCACTGACCATCTACTTAAGGGCTTTCGGAAGCTGATGTAGAAGCTGAAGAGAAGCTGATGTACAAGGTTCCTGTATAAACTGTTTGAAGAAGAGTTGTGGTCCTGTTTCTCTTGCTGGTCGTGATAGAAGAGACAGGAAAAGAAACTCCAGCAACAGGAATGTAGCCAACTTGGTCATGGGAGGGGAGCCTTTTGAGGTATTATTACTGATGATATTGAAAGTGAATGGGTTATTGAATTAGTTTTAACAGTATTCGTTTCTCATGCTAGATATTTTGTATATTAATTGTATTCTAAAATTTTGCTGAACTTGTTCTCATGGTAGTTTAAGGAAATTCTTATGACTTTCTATTTGTTATCTGGTCATCTATAGATACCAATTATTTGTGTTCTATTTATATTTTTAATTTACATGATGAACTAAAAGATTCTGATATTATCCACATATATAAGAAATATGGCTTACCTTAAAATATCGGAGCTAGTTAGTAATAAACCTGAGCTATTTTCCAAGCATTTATAGTTAATATAAGTATCTGGGTAGTAAATTTAGTGTGGCTGTGGGACTAGAAATCTCTGCCTATATATGGTGCCCAAATGTTCAGCAAGAATTTTCACATAAAATCTGAGGAATCAAAGGAGAAAAAAACAAAACAACAAAAGTAAAAACAGGATTCCAAACACACAAAATAAAAGAGTAAAGCATGGATCCCTGGTAGCAACATTTTCTTGGATGGACTTTCTTTGCTGGAAGTGAACAGGGGTGTGACTCCCTTAATAAATGATTTCCTGGCTCAACATTAGTGGCAAAAAACAATAGCTCCTTTTTTTTTTATTATTTTGGTTTTTCAATAACGGGTTTCTCTGTGTAGCTTTTGGAGCCTCATGTACTGGTACTCACTCTTTAGAAGCTAATGCCTCTTTCAGAGACCCTGATATCAAAATTTAAATGTGGTTTATGAGAAACAGATGGAAAACTACTTAGTGGCAGCTTAAATCCCAAAATGCCCCAGAGTATGGGTAGTAATTATTTCTCTTCTTGGTACCTCCTAGTATCTCTGGGTAAAGAAAACTGTCAACATTGGTGATTTGGACCTTGCTAACTGCTTAGAATTCAAAAGAATTCATGTGGTCAGAAAAAGATACAGATATGAAGTAAAGATAGATTCAGATGAAAGAAAAAATACTCTAAGAGAAAAGAAGAAGAATATACAGTTACAGATTTTATGAATATAGTTTTAAAATAATATAATAAAATCTTTAGAGAATAAAGTAATATAAAAGGAAAAAGTAACATACAGATGGAAAACACACAGATTCTGGATACTGTAGTTTATTTTGTTGTCTTTGAATTATTTGACTGCTGAGGAAGGAATGATATTTGCAAAGTACATTGAATTATGGAAGCTGCTATATTAAACCAACCTATATATTTTTAAAATGTCTTAATGTCAAAACTTAAGTCAAAAGATATATTCCTTTGAAAAAGAGGTTATGCTTTTATTTTCACAGAAAATAAAAGGCTGTGCAATTGTTCAAAGTTAAAGATAATCACGTTTGATTGAGAAAGACACCTGAAAAAGCTGGCTACAAATATAAAGAAATAATAAAGAATTAAATCTAGAAGAACTACAAAATATGTGATGTATATTTTGCCTGCTCAAACATAAAAAAAAATCTTTGGCGGACTTATGTAGAGAGAAAGCCTGATTATAGGAATCCCTGACAAACCCACTTGGGTGTCCTCACAGTTAAGTAACAAGGGCTTAAGAAGATGGGAGGCCAGCATGAGGCTCTCTCTAGCATGCCTGAGCTGACTGGGAACAATTCCTGGGTCCTGTTCAAGTGCAAACCTGATCACTGGTTACCTGGCATGAGTATTTTCCCCTAATAAACTACCAGTTATTAACCTATCTCTGACTCCACTTATAGTCATGTTAGATATATTTTTTCTATTATTTATTTAAATCAGAAACAAGATTGTTTTACATGTCAATCCCAGTTCCCTCTTTCCCCTCCTCCCTTGCCCACACTTGTGATTGGTTTAATAAGCATGCTAACTTGCGAATATTGGAAGAGTAAGGCAGGAGAGCCAAACTGAGAATGCTAGAATGCATATCCTATTCCCTTTCTGCTCCCCAGGGAGTATGAGGCCTTCCATGGGGATCTTCTTAATCTATCATATCATTTGGAACAGGGCCTAGGCCCTCCTTTGTGTGTATAGAGTTTATCCCTCTATGTGGAATGGACTCCCAAAGCACATTTGTATGCTAGGGATAAATATTGGTCTATTGCCAGATGCCCAATAGATGGTTGAGACCTTCTCACTGACACCCACTTTCAGGGGGTCTATAACAGTCCTATGCTGGTTTCCCAACTATCAGTCTGGATCCATGAACTCCCCCTTGTTCAGATTAGCTGTTTCTGTGGGTTTCACTAGCCTGGTCTTGTCCCCTTTGCTCATCACTCCTCCCTCTCTACAACTGGATTCCAGGAGTTCAGTTTATTGTTTAGCTGTGTATTACACATATTGGTGTTCAAACACTTTAAAGACCTACAGAATATGGTATTTCATATTTTTAATATCCTAAGGCTATTCATGACAGTGAGACACTGCTCCTGACAACACTATATACTTGAGAGAATATGATGGGAATCAAAGAAGCTCCATATGGAGTTTGTTTTCTTTGTGGAAAAAATCTAGCCACGTGGGCAAAGAAACTGTTCCTTCCTCTATTGTTGACTTTTACTTGTCTAAGCTGGTCTACCCAGCAGGATGCAAAAAAAAAAGAGCCCCTGCTAAATTTTGCCAAGACATGGTAATACAGTCTTTCAAAATTAAAAGTCTGTCACTTATGCTAGGCATGTAGGCCGTACTTGGATGCCCTTATGCTACAGAAGAACTTTGAGTGACAGTCCACTAAGACTGAAGTCTCTGTCATTAGGTAACAATTCATCCTCCTAGTAATATTTGATGTAGTTAAAATTTACATAGTTACAGATGATGTTTCCTTAGTTATGATAGAGGGCAAATTAGGTACAAAAGTTTGAATTCTCAAAGAAAGGATAGATAATGGAGCATTTTCTTTGATTTGGGCAAGTGAAAATAGACTAGCTTTGTAATTTTGACTTATTTGATAACTGTTTTTGTTGTATGTAGTTTTGCAATGTTGATATAATCCTTTGTGATTGGATAAAAAGGGGTAATGGTGTGGAATAATCCTTTTGTACATGGTGAATATTGGTCACTGTGATTGGTTTAATAAACATGCTAACTTGCCAATATTGGAAGAGAATAAAGTAAGGCAGGAGAGCCAAACTGAGAATGCTAGGAAGGAGAACTGCAGCATCAGGAGTTGCTAGTTAAACACAGGAGGAGCAACATATGA